CAAATGAGATCTAGCAGAAACAAAGTTTGAACCATTGTCGGAAAATAAATGAGAAGGTTTTCCGCGACGAGCCATGAATCTTCCAAATGCCATCAGAAAAGAATCTTTGGTTGAGTCTGAAATCAATTCTAAATGAATCGCCTTTGTGGCAAAACAAATAAAGAGTTCTATATAACACTTACTGAGTTTTGATCTTCGACCTTTACGATCTTTGACCAAAATAGGACCCGCGTAATCAATTCCAGTAGTATTAAAAGGCTGAGCTGGCTGTAGACGAGACGCAGGAAATTGACCCATGAGTGGCTGTATACCTATTGGTTTAGTGCGAAAACATTCGACACAATGTCGTATTACTTTTTTAGTAAGGATTCTTCCACCAATGGGCCAATGCTTTTTCTCAACGATGCCAATAATTGCTGTGAGAAAGAATTGAGGAATGAGAAGAGACACTATCTTGATTAGGAAGAATTTCTTCAAATTCTCAAACAAAGTGAAAACTATCGAGGAGAGATACATACGTATAAAGAAAAAAATATTTCGAAATGAATTTCGAAACATTAATCTTTCCCAACTACCTACATATTAGGGTGTAGTAAACGACTGTTGAAAAACTACTCCCCCGGCTAATACCACGCCGGATATTGTATTATATCCGACAGACACTAATGCATGGACCATGCTGAAATTATTCTGGGTGAACGAGAAACATCTGCGAGTCTAGCCTCTTTAGGTTATCTTACATGAATGTCTGTCGGGTAAAATTTAATATTCGGCTTGGTATCAGTCGGGGTGGTAGTTGTTTTTCGACAGACGTTTACCACACCCTACTGTGTAGGCAGTTGGGAGAGATTGATGTTTCCAAATTTATTTATATTCATTTTTTTATAAAAACAAAATAGTATTTTGCTGCATCAATACATATTTCACTGAAATATTCGGATAGGATCATATGCTCTAAAAAAAGTAAATAATAATAAATTGAAATAGTAAAAATGGACTTCAAGAATACCTTATTTTATTTTAATAGATACTGTGAAGGGTTTTCCAGAGTTACACAAAAAATGACGCTAACGGAAGAGTGACACATTTCTTGTGAATGAAACCCTCAGGTGCCATGTTTTTTTTGATAATCTCCAGTTTCGAGATGGCGATTAACGAAGGTATCCAAAGGTATCCAGAATATAATTACATCAATTTGCATCTGAATACCAATTGTTCCTACTTGTATGGAACATATTTCCTTCTGCCTTGTTAGATATACACACATCGATGCTGATCATTTACCTAATTAAACTGAAACTTATACAGAATCTTCTTATGACACCACCAATTTCGTCATATTTGAAACGCTAAACCTCAGATTTCCTCAATGGAACATCCCATATAATCAAGTAATGTTTTTCCAAGTATTCAAATGTCTACAAATTCACAATCATAACTTATGTAATGTTGATAATGGTCGTTTTTCCCAATTCCCGATTATAACAAAAATCTCACTCATATCGTGATTTTCGAGGTCATACTGTTTTTAACTAGTTTCAAATCAAAATAACACAATGTGCGAAATTCCATGTCAGATTTATTTATAATCAGAAAATTTTGGTTGCCTCAGAAAAAACTATTCCATTCAAAACTTTTTGGAGGTGAGACCTCATTAATTCTTAACTGAACGTTGTTTCGCCTAACAATCATTGAATGAGCAGATAAAGGATTTTAAAATTGATAAATGGAAATGGTATATTATAAAATAATAAAATGGGTCCAGCCGCTCTTGAGTTTTTTTTTACCGTAGTATGCGCTGGTCAGGCCCCATCCCCCGAAGCCGCAATATATTCGGGAGGGCATTATCAACCAACGACCACTCCCCACACCGTGAGGAGTCATTGGTTGATCCGTGGGGTAAGTGATCATTGAGTCCAAGAACCATGTACTCTGAACAAGTGCAGTGAGCTAAGAATGACAGCCTTCTGCATCTGTTCGGCTAATATTTCTGCCTCA